GTACATGTCGGATGAAGGCTGTCACATGTGGGTAGCTGAGTTGTTCGGTCAAGTTGTTGGGATGGTGGCACTCCGACACCATGAGAACCACGAACCAGGAGTATTTGAACTGCAGCGAATGTACGTGGTGCCAAGTTATAAAAGAATGGGGATTGGTAAACGAATGCTCACTGAAGTGATTACACATGCAAAGAAGCATAGAATGAAGATGATCGTTTTAACAACTTCCACCATTGAGGCACCTGCCATACAGCTGTACAAGAAGTATGGTTTCAAACTTGTACCTAGCAATTGCAGTGTAAATGAGTCTGACAAATCAATCCAAAGGCCTGATGGTGAAGCAATACTTGCAATACTAACTGATGTCGTACATCTCAAGTCAAACATTTCTGGAAACGTAGAAACATAACAGCCTAGTATATTATATATATATATAATTTTAATAACTGAATAAGATGTTGAATTTCAAACTTGGAAACAAAATGTAAAAAGTGAATCGATCAGCATGACACAAGTGTTGGACAAAAACATCTGTTAGTCCCCCGACAGGAATCATGGAACCCTAACACCTGGAAAAGTCACAAGACTTCAGCAGTGTTGATCCCAGCTGTCTGCAGGATGTGTTTGGGAGGTCATGGGTTCGATTCCTGTTGGGGACTCAGGCTCTTGTCATGTTAAAAATCCACCTTTCATATACAACTTTTATAGCAAGTTTCTCTCACTAAAATTACTAATTACCTAAGGTTGCAAAAGCTTTTTTTAATAACAAATAATAAGGAAACTTATAGTTTTTGCCTCCAATACTATTATAATCTTACCACTGGACCTAAATATTTTGTCATCTATAAGTTCTTTACTTTATTTCTTTCAATATCAGTTCTCAACAAGTACAAAAAAATTACAACAACTATTTATCTCCCTCCTGACATCTTCTTGGAAATACTGTGCTGAAACTACCATCTTCACTTCGGCTTAACTATATCCTTTAAAACCAGGATGTCATTACCTGACGCCTTCTTCTCCTACACTAACCCTGTGACTCAACCCTTTCCCATATCTTTCTATTTTTAGAAACAGTTTTTGAGTGAGTTTTCATATGACCCCTTTTTTACCCTAGCAAAGACCATTCTTTGTTACATCAATGACTGGGATTCCTTTGACTGGTATTTTTCTTTTTATATTTGTAGAAACAAGATATTTTGTGGCA